TGTTTGCCAGGTTTATCTATTGAGGTAGTCTGCGACTTTTTCCATGAAATTGGATAGTTTCCGAAACTAAGAATTGCTTTGAAGAGCACAGAGAGCATCTCTACGGCAATATTTGGTAACTCAATTAGCATTTTTGGGGTAATATTATCATGTCCCGGCGACTTTTTTTGGATTAAGTTATTTTATGATTCTAATAATTTCAGAAGTCAAAGTCTTAAAAGACTCCAGCGGCTCGTTAGCTGTGTTGAGAAGGACAGCTTAAAATTGTATATTACATGTTACATTTTCTTTGGCAAACTAGGTTGGAATAGTTTCTGAGGAATTTGCAAAACAATTAGCATTTTCCTCTCCACTTCGAGCCCACTTTCCACCCAAGTCTCGGATATACATGTTGGAGTCAGTTGGTGGCTTCATGGACTTTTGGGCGGCTTTCCAAAGGGAATTTTGCTTGCTTGAATTTGGGCACAGCTTCTTTATACACATTTCGGTGTTGAATTCTTCCTCACATTTAAGCGCCTTTTTAATTTACTACAGCAGATTACAAATCATGCTGAGTGGAAGGGGAGCGATTTATCTGCCATAGGCCAATATATCAGCTTGACAAAAGATATTATTTCAAGGTTATTGTGCCTATTTATAACCGTTTGTTACAGCTGACYTCCTTTCACCTTAATTAGTCATGAATTTGTTTGTAGTATCGACCTGTTAGAAATATCTGACCTAAAGTTCCAAAAAACTCTTTAAATTGGATGCCTGTAATTTTAAACCCTGGTGCGTAGGTTTCTTGGTATAAAAAAAATTTCGACTTCGTAGGTGGGCGTAATCGGAACACTGCCACGCCCACAAATCGCCATTAGTCGAAAACGTACTAAGTGTCATAGCTAAGCATTAAATTCAGATAATAAACTGTAATTTGGTCCGGAGGATCCCAGTAACAAGGAGCATCTGTGGGCAAAATTTGTTGAAAAAATGGGAGTGGAACCGCCTTCTAACAAGTTTAACGCATATATCTCCTAAGCCACTTAAGCTACAACAACCGAACTTGCTGAGTGCAAATCTTATGAGAACTTCTCGCGAAAGTGTGAGTCTGAAAATGGATGAAATCAGYAAATAACCCCGCTCACTCCCCATATAACGGTACTGTGAAATCGATAACTAAATAAGCCAGAGACATTAAATTATGTCCACAAATTATTTTAATCCAATAAAAAGTGTTCAATCCCCTAGGAACTGAATATGTAGACCCTGGTACCTATGTCGCTCGATGTGTGATATATGTATGTACCTCAAATTAAGGGATAAACCTTCTCTTTTAACGGTATATCTGTATGTCAAAATTCGGTTAAATCGCATCAGTACTTCCCTTAAAGATTTTCGATTTTCCGGGTGACTTTGTACCGCATATATCGGTCAAAATTTTAGTTATTCTAATGAAAATAAGCTAGCGTGTTTTCCTCATACCAGTCTTTGTGCCTAAAATAGATATATTTGAGCCAAAACTTGGTCTAGCCCCTATGTAACTAATATCAGGATTTTCGAATATTCGGCTGACTTCACTCTACACGATTGGTATTTCCCCCCTTTGATTCTTGCAAGTTGCAAAAGTATAAAATGTTCGATTGCACCCGAACTTATCCTTTCCTTACTTGTTTATGAATATTTTTATAGCTTCAAATTGCGCTGTAGCAATCTAATGCGTGGTGATTTGATCGTTTTCTAACCAACACTGCTCTTTCACCATGTACCTTTCCTTCTGGGTGATCTGTAATATACAAGGAGCGTTTTAAAGTAAATAATGATTTTTTCGGAAAAATCCATTTATTTTATTCAAAATAGTCTCCTCCTGTTCAATACAGTTTTTTTCAAGGTCCAAAAGCATGTCGAACGTGTATTTTAGCTCGTTGGCCGGTATTAAGAAGTCGCACGGTGCCATATCAAGTGAATACGGGGAGTARTTAATGGTTGAAATGTGATTTTTGGTCAAATAATCGTCCTTCGAATGGTGGAATTTGGAGATGATCAATTCCATTTCCATGAATTTCAATGATGATTTCGACTGATTTTTGATGAATTCACGCAGTTTCGATGGAATTTCCGGTGATCGCGGATTTTGATTTGCCCACATGTTGATCTTCATTTATGTCCTCACGACTACTTTGATAGCGTTGAAACCACTCGTGCACTCTGCTACGAGAAAGGTAATCATTGCCATAAACTTRTTTCATCAATTGAAACGTTTCGGTAAAAGTCTTACCAATTTTAAAGCATAATTTAATATTGGCTCTTTGTTCGAAGCTCATTTTCGTTTCCTCGAYGTACCAACTGTTATTTTGCATTTTCTGAAAACCAATGGTTTCGGTAGCTGCTGTACGTAAGGAGTTTGAAATGCCATCCTACAGTTTTCTTATACCGATTTGTTGACGAGTGCTCTCACAGAGCAGGAGTGCAAGTCAAGTAGAAAACGTTCGGATGTCTGTTGGGATTGCAGCTTCTCGACGTCGAACCCGCCTTGTGTTTGTCGACGTGCGTTTTTTACTGCACAGAGGCGGGTGCGTATCTTGCCTGCCACAAGGTAGTGGTCCGAGTCGATGTTAGGACCACGAAGCGCACGCACATCTAAAACACTGGAGACGTGTCTTCCGTCTATCACAACATGATCGATCTGGTTGGAGGTTTTTCGATTCGGAGACGGCCAGGTGGCTTAATGAATTTTCTTATGATGAAATCTAGTACTACATGTATATTTCGACTCCCGGYTAAGTCGATCAGCCTCAACCCATTTGGGGATGTTTCCTCGTGGAACTGAATTTACCGACCGTAGTGCCAAAGATACCTTGTTTGCCCACCCTGGCATTAAAGTCGCCAAGCACGATTTTGACATCGTGGCGGGGGCATTTCTCATAGGCGCGCTCCAAGCGCTCATAGAAGGCGGCTTTGCTCACATCGTCCTTTTCTACGGCGCAAATCAGCGATTTRTTGAAGAACCTTGCTTTGATGCGGATTGTGGCTAGGCGTTCATTCACCGGGGTGAATGATAGTACTCGGCGACGGAGTCTCTCTCCCACCACGAATCCCACACCAAACTTGCGCTCCTTTATATGGGCACTGTTGTAAATGCCACAAGGACCTAGGAGGAGTGAAGGATAATACTTCACTGGGTGACGGAGTCTTTCTCCCACCACGAATCTCACACCAAACTTGCGCTCCTTTATATTGCCACTGTAGTAAATACCACAAGAACCTACTCATCTCAGTCCTTGGCGTCCATCGCATTTCTAGAACGGTGGTGATGTCAGCCTTCACTCTAACGAGTACATCAACCAGCTGGGCAGCGGCACCTTCACAATTAAGGGACCGGACATTCTAGGTGCATTCTCTCAATTTGTAGTCCTTATTTCGTTTGCCATGGTCTCATCAGAGACTGAATGTTAATTTTCGCCTTCAAACGTATGTTCTTAGGCTACCCAGAGGATACTTGGGCAAAGACCGGAAGTCGTGAGCTGCTTGAGCCATATGAAAAAGAATCGTTTCTGTCCACTCGCAATTGAATGGCGATCAGAAAACTTTTCTCACTTGCGTGAACTTCTACACATGACTCCATCCATAACACAAACATACTGAAACTTAAAACACAATAACCTCACTTCCATTCTATGAAATGTCATGATTCTGGACAATGGGTAAAGATAACAGATTCTAACGCACCAGTCGACACCTTAGAAACCTCTTTGTACATAGAGTCTAAATCGCGGAATAAATAAATTGTTTTTATTCATAAGAGGAGTTTATGACAGTAACATAACATTTACATATATCCGTATTATTTACATCAAGAAACCGAAGAAGCTCCAGCTGATGTTGGTTAAAACCATTTCCATATGCAATGTTCAATACATTAATTTTTTACTTAAAAAATTTTGCAACATTTGGTTCCGTGATTYGATTATCTCTTGAATTATATTTTGCATTGTAGACATAAATTATGTCAAACATTGGGTAAGTTTGAAAATCATTTTTTCAACGCCTGAGGTTGGTTGGTTTTTGGGGTAATTGCATTTGTAAAGTGTTGGCTTTCAGCACCTTGTGTAGCATTATTGTTAATATCACGAAATGTGGCATGGATTATTTAAGATAATGTTATCTCCACGAAAGAACTAGAAAGAAGTTTTTACAAGTACTTTTTGTTGGGTGAAAACCATTAGTCGGTTATATTTTCAGATTTAGTTCTACATTTAGCTGCCATAGAATATTGGAGGGTATTAAGGCGTTGCTGCAGCCAAAATTAACGTCTTTATATCGCAAACAGGGTACATTATGTTTGCCACAAATTGTGTRAAACAAAAAAGGAAATACTATATACGTATGTACACCCTCTCTTCACGAAACTCGGCATGGAGTCTAATCTATGCCATAAGCTCCGAATAAACGTTTAAGTTCCGACTACTATAATTTATAGCTGACATACAAACTGACCGATCCAGCCTGAGTCTGGTATGGAAAACTTTTTTATTTGGCTAGGTATCTTCACGAAAACTGCATAGATTGTTATCCAAAGCATTGTAGCGATCTCGGAAGAAATTATTTAGATTGGACCAATGTAGCATATAGCTGCCATGAAAACTAAACGATCGTTTTTGTATGGAATCTTTTGTATTTGTAAGAAGGATTATAGCTTCAGTGTAATCGCAGTTAACGTTTCTTCTTGTTTTATTTTATAGATAGTCTCAAAGTAGATGGCGAAAACGCGTCCTAATTTGTTGTGCTCTTTAAACATGAATAAACACTCGATAATAAAGTTTATAGTAAAATTATCAATCATTATTCTTCTACTAATGGCCAAATATCCCCTTAACTTAACTTCTCGGTAGTATACACACATCTGGATATTACCTTTACCATTCACTAATTCTTCAGATCATTAGCATTGAAAAGTCGATCGGACACTCATAAACCATTTGAAAATACTTCTGATAAAATGTTTTGCTCACCACTTTCTATAGGGTTCTTCTTGTCAAGGAATCTGATCCAGATCGATGGGAGCGTGAAATCGTACCAATGGAGTACCACAACGAGGAACGCCGAAAAATGGTTGATGTTTGGAATGCAGATTTTGTAAATATCGCACAGTACCTTCGAGGACCGTGCCGTTTGGCCGAACGATTTTCTGAAGATCTCATTATGCAAACAGTGGGTATTTTGGAAGTTAATGCATTTGAAGCGCGGACAACACTGGGATATGCACTGCGTTGTTTATACCCAATCACTGGAATATTAGCGCATAATTGTGTACCAAATACCTTTCGTACAATACATCCAAGTGAAGGCTTCAAGTAATTATACAGTTAATATTATATGTACATATATAAGTGAAATAAATAAATATTGACATTTACTTATTAAAATACAAAGGATCCGCCTAAGGGCCATGTACAATTTGAACGAAGGCCAACAGTTGCAGCACTCGTATACATACACTTTGAATGGCACTTACCAACGACAGGAACATTTAAAGAATGGTAAATTCTTCACTTGCGAATGCAAACGTTGCAAAGACCCCACCGAGTTGGGTACGAATTTTAGCACGTTCAAGTGTAGTAAATGCGAAGAAGGGTGGTTACTGTCAACTAATCCAATAGGTTAGTATGTTTAATATTGATTTCTGTATATTTATAACATTTTTAATATTTTCTTGACTTTAGATCCTTCCTGCTACTGGAAATGCACGCTTTGCACCTTTCAAACATCAAATAATGCTATACAGAAGGCACTATCTGTAATGCAATCCGAAGTTGCCACATTACAATCAATGACTCCCAGTCCTCAGAAATTACAAGAAACAGAAAAGCTAATGAGAAAATATTGTGTAGTTGTACACCCTCTACACTTCATACAAATAGGATTGCGTCAAAATCTTATCGAAATGTATGGTCGTGTTGCAGAGTATGAATTGTCTGAATTGCCCGATGTTCTCCTTGAACACAAAGAAGAGCTATGTCGACAAGTGTTACATGTTTTAGATGTCTTTGAACCGGGATTGAGTCGAACACGTGCTATGATGCTATACGAGTTGCATGTACCATTAGTATTATTGGCCAAGAGTGGTTTCATAAGCGGCGTCCTAACAGCGGATGCATTAAAAAATAAACTTCTTGACGTTATTGCTATTCTAAATGAATGTGTGGACATACTGCAATACGAAGATCCAGAGACACAAGAGGGAAATTTATGTAAAGTAGCACAGCAAGCGAAGAATCAGTTGACACAAAGTGTGGAAGGTTTAACAGTCGCTGAATGATATTGTTGCCGCATATTTTACAYAAATAAAGTCTCCCTTGTACATAATATAAAAAGGGCTACATTAATAATAAATCAAAGTTCTATTTATGTAAGTAAAAATTAACTTACATATATATGTGACTAAAACTATTGTTGCAAAAGTCATATACAGTTATCAGTATGTGATTTTTTAAGCATACTCAAAAATAGTATTTACTACGAAGTAATGTCCAAATGAGACCATCTCGCCTTTATTCAATGGTTCCTGAATTTATTTATTAACTGATTCAGAGTCAAAGCACATCACTATTATTTCAACAATAAAACGTTTGGCTTAAATTAATACTGCAATAATTATATTTGAAAATTCAGTTAGCTTATTAAAGACAGAAATATAAAGTTTATAAGTTGTGTTGAAGTAGAATATGACAAGAAAATGTTTTTAAATAAAATATAAAACAATATTATATTTCATTATTTCAGCAATTTATCAAAGAAGCAATTAATTTTATTCATAGGTAAACATTAAAGCAACAAATATAATATTATCGGGAATTACGTTCACTTATAAGCACGRAGAACTCTATGGAAGTTATCAATAAAAAAATGAGAAAGTACAGGTTCGACATCGAACAGTTGTAAAATTTCAACCGGTTAATTCACCTCACAACCATGGAATTCACCCTGTGAAATGTGAACTTTGTTTTGATTTTAGCAAAAGGGAATCTGTAAAATAAAATAAATATAAATTTWAAAAAAATTGCGAATTGAAAAATGCATATGTATGTATGTATTTCCTCACATATTTCATGCAATTACGCTATGAGGGAATCTAACAGGCATATAATTACGGTGTGCCGTCGGCATTTTCTGTGCGCAATCAACATCTTGTTACAAAAGTAGTATTAAGTTTGGTACCACTTGTATTTGTATTGCTATATGCATCCCTTATTATAAACATTGGGCACCCGGTTGACTGTTTGTTTACTTATAACAAGAACAATAGCTGCATGTATATGGAATGTATCGCATTATAATATGTGTTTGGCTTGCTATATGCATTCCTTATTATAAACATTGGGCGCCAAGGTTGTCTGTTTGTCTACTTGTAGCATAAACATTATACAGTATATGAAACGTATAGCATTACGTTCTTTTAATTGCCAGACGCAATGTTCTAGAGGTACACGTCGGCATCAGCGAGGAGTGCGTGGCACAATAAGCGCCAACGTAAGGGAGGCTGCAAATCTCCGGGCGGCAGTAGCATCCCACGCAAACCCCAGCATCAACTGTCTTGCCACTCTTAGGTGCAAGCAAACCGACCGTTTCAGAAGGCCATGTATCCTGACAAATCCTTCCGCTCCCACCTAACTAAAACTCGAGCTTCGCTTTTTAGCGTCAGATTCTTTTGAGAGCCACTTGAGCTCACAACTAAATCTTTCTCCTTCTCCCGCAAAATACATTACAGGTTCATAACCATATGGTTGGCAAGTCGGTAGTCGGTAGRCGCATTAAGCGAATCCGACACTACCCGCCACGGTGCTTTAGAAGATTTCCCCCCCACATCTCTTCCAAAAAAAAAAACAAAAACAAAAAAAAAAAAAAAGGAGGAATGCTAGGAGTAAACTGTTATAGTATAGACGACTTTTGAAATAAAGAGTTTTTGTTAAAGTGAATTAACGGTTTTTGGTTTTATTTGTCAATCCAGAGATACGAACCTAGTAAAGTAAACTAGTAAGGGGTAAATTCGCAACAATTGGTGTCAGAAGTGGGATTGTCAAATAATCCAAATTCAAGATGGTTAAATTCGGGGAATAGAGTATTCAGCGATTAAAAAAAGAACTGGAGGAGCGTAATTTGCCGATAAGCGGACAAAAGGCGGATCTGCAGGCACGATTACTTGAAGCAATGGAAGCGGATGGAATTAATGTGGACGAATTCGAATTTGATGGCCCAGAAACTTCTACAAAGGTAGAAGGTAGAAAGGTAGAAGAACGACGAACATCATCAAGTGTAGACATGAACATGCTGTTAGTGGCTATTAAGCAAATCGCAGAAGATGCAGTGCAAACAGAAAATCGTCCGGCACAGCAAATGACGCAAATAGCTGAAAATACATCACAGTTAGAGTCTCGCCTTACACAACAAATGACTGAAATTAACACGCAGTTAGAAATTCGTTTGGTACAACAGATTACAGAAAATACTACACAAGTACAAAAACCAGTGCAAGAGAAATTTTCAAAATTTGAAGACGAATTAAAAAATGACTAAGAAAATTTAAAATCAGAAGTTCTTCAATTGAGTAATCGTATGCGAGAACTGCAACTGCATGGCCCTGCACCATCAACAAATAATCCAAAATTGAAGGCGCCTACATTCGATGGAGGTATTCCATTTCAAATTTTCAAACTTCAGTTTGAAAAGACGGCAATGGCCAATAACTGGAATGCAGCGAACAAAGTGGCGTCCTTGTTTGTATCATTGAAAGGACCTGCGGCAGAAATCCTTCAGACTATTCCAGATTGTGAACGGGACAACTATGAGGCTTTGATGAGTGCGATAGAAAGACGATATGGTAGTGAGCACCGGAAACAAATATACCAGATCGAACTGTAAAATAGGCGTTAGAAAATGAACGAGTCATTGCAAGAGTAAACCAGTTCACAAAGTATAAAGAATTGAATTGGAACAGCCGGCGCTGATGGAAGAAATATTGAAGACTCTGAAGACAATTGCTGCACCGCGAGTAAAAACAACAGGCAGATGTTTCAACTGTGGAAAAGCAGGTCATTTTGCCCGAAATTGCAATATAAAATAAACCCATCAAAACGGAAACAACCAACCCATAACGAGGACAGAGTATCCACTTCTCACAAGTCKTTAAACTAAAACGGAACAGTTCAAAGGGGCATGAACTGGTTTCCACAACTATTTTCCCCGTCATCTCGATATCACAAATAGGTCGCCATGTCAACAATCTTACTATCAACGGTATCGTAAATGGAAGACTGCCAACGCTTACTTTGCATACTGGTGCCACACATTCAATTATCCGACCGGATGTGGTAAGAGAAAGGTTGAACCATTAGTCGGTTGCAAGCTTCGAACGGCCACCGGAGTGGAAGCAGCTGTTGCGGGAAAAGTGTTTTGCGAAGTGATGATTGGTACCCTGGTAGTTAATCACACCTTCATCGTAGCAGAAATCACGGATGAAATTATAATGSGAGTAGATTTCATGATTGATCACGGGATTACTTTGCATTTAAACAAGCAAATGCTGTTTTGCCAGAACATGGAGATGCCTATAAACACCGGATATGTGACCAACGTTGAAAGTAAGAGGATGATTGTTGATGATAATCAGAATATTCCACCAACATCTGAGGCGATTGTATGGGCTAAAGTGAATGAAGGAGATGGGACTGAGGAATTGTGGATTGTGAAACCAACAAAAATAGATACACCCATATTGGTAGGAAGAACACTTGTGAAAACTAGAGAAGACGCTACCATTCCGGTCAGAGTGGTGAACGGATTTAACACGCCTATAAGTCTGAAGAAAGGAACAGTAATTGGACAGGGTCAGAATATAAGTGCAATATCACGATGCGAACGGTCACAACAGAAGCCTACACTCCTAAACAATTTGCTGAACGAGGTGCATGGAAATGAAAAACTAAAAGCAGAAAAACTATTAAAAAATACGCATCCATATTTGCAAACGAAGGAAACAACACAGGAAGAACCGCTAAACCCATTCAACAAGCTCCGCGTAGGGTTCCACTAGCAAAACGTGAGGACGCTAACAAAATTATTGAAGACATGAACAAAAACGGTGTAATCGAACCTTCAATAAGTCCATGGAGCTCACTTTTCGTCTTAGTTAAAAAGAAAAATGGTAACACCCGTTTCTGCGTAGATTATAGGAAGTTGAATGATGCCATAAAGAAAGACAGTTATCCTCTACCGAGAATCGACGATACATTAGATACCTTGTCTGGAGCGAAATGGTTTTCTACATTAGATCTACAAAGTGGATATTGGCATGTTGATGAATGTGATCGTGAAAAGACCGCTTTCAGTATGGGCGACGGGTTATGGGAATTATCTGTGATGCCATTTGGGTTATGTAACGCGCCTGCAACGTTCGAGCGACTGATGGAACATGTATTAAAAGGTCTCAACTGGAAGACATGTTTGGTGTATCTTGATGACATTATCATCATTGGAAAAAGTTCTGCTGACCATCTGAAAAACCTAGAGATGGTCTTTCAGCGAATAGCATCAGCCGGATTACGCTTGAATCCCAAAAAGTGTTCATTATTGAAGAAGCAGGTAACATATCTCGGACATAAAGTGTCAACTAAGGGGATTCACACCGAGGAGGGGAAAATAAAAGCAGTTAAAGATTGGCCTCGACCCACCAACATACATGAACTGCGCAGCTTCCTCGGCTTATGCACGTATTACGTGGCTAGAAGTTTACATGATTTAACAAAGAAGAATCGCCCGTTTGTCTGGCAGTTGGAACAAGAAAAAGCGTGTGAACAGCTTAAAGAACTACTTTGYACGGCGCAGATGTTAGCTTATTCAATACCTGGWAAGAAATTCATCCTGGATACAGATGCGAGCGCTCATGGAATKGGAGGTGTCCTGGCTCAGCTCATCGACGGGCAAGAAAGAGTAATTGGGTATTACAGCAGAGTGCTCGGGAAACCAGAGAAAAACTACTGTGTGACGCGAAAAGAACTACTAACTGTGGTGGAATGTGTAAAACATTTCCACAAGTATTTGTATGGGCAACGATTCTTGCTGAGGACTGATAATGCAGCATTAAAATGGTTATTACAGTTTAAGAATCCGGAAGACCAAATTGCACGATGGACCGAAAGATTACAAAATTACGACTTCGAAACAGAACACCGAAAGGGGATTCACCACAAAAATGCGGATGCATTATCACGTCGCCCTTGTCCACTGGAATATAAACATTGCTCCAAATCAGAAGGAAAAGAAGATATAATCGACGTGCGATTACTGAATATAGAACCTGAAGATGATTGGACTCCTCACCGCATCAGAATCAATCAACTGGAGGACCCTGATCTTGCAAAAGCTGATAATAGCCAAAGAAAATGGGGTACGACCACCAAAGGAACAAATAAGTAGCGAGAGTCCAACTGCAAAAGCATATTGGGCCCAATGGAACAGCATAAACCTCGTTAATGGATACCTTCATCGTACGTGGGAAAGCGAAGATGGCAAACAGTCTCGTCTGCTGGTCATAGTACCRAAGTCCATGATCCCGAAAGTATTGAAAGAATATCACAATGGACCTGGTGGAGGGCACCTTGGAATTACAAAA